CTTCATCATCCATCATCTCATCAAGGTCGAGGTACAAAAGGAGTGTCAACCTTAGATATCCTTGATATTTTGGTATTCAGTTATTGGAACAACGACTAGAATAGATGGGATTGAGCTACAACTCAATCCCATTGTGACCACAAATTTAATGTCGTTGTCATCTACCGAATTACTCAACGAGATAATTTCTCTCATACCTAGGAGTGATGAATCCTTTTTCAATCCACCATAGTTTTGATACACTTCTCGATGTAGTTAATCACTACCATTCTGATAGTTATGAATAGATTTACGTTGGACTAGTGTCAAACTATACTAATTGGTGCGCAAGGTACTTCGATGATCTCAAGTCCAAGGATCACATGCACCACCATCTATTAGAGGATTTATTCCGCAAACACTAGGGTTACCATCTATGTGGAACTCTGGTGGGTCTGTCTAATGAACTTGCTAATGACAAACACCCATGTGTTGCACCAGGTTATCAACAAACAACCTTGACAAGTGAGATCTATCACTATCTTTCGACAGGGTCATTCAACATTATGATACTTTTACCGTATTATTTGTGTCCTTAGTCAAAATAACATTGGGGCTACAAACGTTTCTATAATGGCCATCATATGTGATCATAAGGTCCTCACTATCAAGATTTGAAGCACTCGATACCCTCGTCATGGTTCTACCATTCTAAAGACATACATTATAACATATATATTAAATACAAATTACATAATATAGAAAATGCCTTTTATTAATTATAAACATTATTACAAGAGTCCACATTTACAAAGTGGATTGGCTCTAGGGCACCTACTCTAACATAAATATCAAACACAAAACTACTAAAATAACGTCTCAGAATTTTCCTCAAAAACATCTAAAAACAAACTCCATTCAAACTCAAAAATTGCCAAAATCTCAAACCCCAAAGAAGTTGACGAACAGCGAATGGTGGGCAATCAAGATCGAGGTTGTTAGGGGTTTTTTATGGGAGGCTCCAATGAAGCAAAAGGTGATGATAGGGGAAGTTTCAGACAAAATTTCATCAAGCATAAGGTGAAGCAAAAAGTGATGATGAGGGAGGCTCTAATGAAGCATAAGGTGATGGCGATTGTAAGGCAGAGGAAAACGGCAAATTAAGGCCAAAATTTCGTTGATTGGTGCTAAGAAAAGGATTACAGCAAGCAAAGGAAGAATTTCATGTCAAGATTTGCAAAAATCCGACAAGAAATTAGCCAAAATGGTCGGCAATGGCTATCGACAGATAATGATTATTTCAAGCAGGTAGAGAAGGGAAAGAGTTTTTTAAAGTGGAGAAGAAAGAGAGAGTTGGGATGTTGACAGAGAGTGAAAAGGAGAAGGAAAAGGAGGTTGAGAATAAGAGTGAAAGAGATGATGGAGATTAGAAATGATGATGAGATTGATGGTGGGATGAGAAGTTGCGGCGAGGATGAGAGTGAGGAGGAGAAAAGTTGAAGAGAAAATAGAATAAAATTTTAGAATTAAGGTAATTCTTTTTTTTTTTTTTTAAATAAATTATATGGATACCCGCGGGTATACCCAGTCCACCCGTAGAAAAAACGAGTCGATCCGGGTGCGGGTCCAATTTCCATGGGTCCACAAGGCTTGACTCGTACCCTATATTATTTACCCGAATGCGGGTCGACCCGCAGGTCCAGAACCGTTTTGCCAATCTACCTATATTTGATGATGAAGATCCTTATGGTGGGCTTTCAGGGCTGATCAATACTTCAATATAAACAGGTTCACCAAAAGAGAGAAAGTGGAGGCAACGACAGTGTGCATGGAGAGACGTGCACTTAATTGGTATAAATGGATGGATTCACGAGCTCTATTTCCGAGTTGGGGAGTTTTCAAAACTACCTTGATCAAGAGGTTCCGACCGTTGTATAAAGGTTCAGTGTTTGAATTGTTGGTGGTGTTGAGACAAACCGGAACGGTTATAGCATATCGAGAGCAATTTGAATTGCACGCAGTGCCATTAAACAATATGGGTGAGGAGTTGTTAATGTGTACTTTTGCCAATAGACTGAAGGAGGAAATTCGGGTCGATTTGCATGTAGTTCTGCCCAATACCCTTTCGAGTTAATGGACCATGCCCATAGAATAAAAGAACGAAACTGGATTCTAGACAAGACCAAGATTAAAACAAGCCAAGCCCAATGGAATGTAAAAATGAAGCCCTATACCTGAGCAACCCCAAACCCAAAGCCACTTAGAATTGGTTGGGGACCCAATGGGTGAGAAGTCCAGACCGAACAATGGGAACCCAAATTCATTACGAAAGAGGGGAGAAATCAGTCAAGTCAACGTCAGAGAATTTCTGAGATAATAATTATCAACGGTTAACCGAAGCCAAAATGCAGTATAAAAGGGAATAAGGATTGTGTTTTAAGGGCGATCAGAAATTTGGGCCTGCACATCAATGTAAAAACAAGGCGTTGCAAATATTGCTAGTTACAGTTGATGACAAATTCAAAGAAGAGGAGGCCATAATGAAAGTAGAGGATGAAACTAACACAGAAGGTAACCCAATTGCACTCTCCATGAATTCGATTGTTGGACTAACCTCTATTAACACTCTGAAACTCAGAGGGCAGATTAATGAGGAAGAGGTAATAATATTGGTGGATAGTGGAGCTTCCCACAATTTCATCTCCTAAGAATTAGTTACTAAGTTAAGATTGCAGGTGGACGAAACTAAAGCTTTTGGTGTTATAGTAGGAAATGGGTTTACAATAAGAAGCACAAGGGTTTGTAGAGGGCTGAAACTAGAGATACAAGGAATCACAATGCTACAGGAGTTTTTTCCTTTCGAGTTAGGGGGAGCTGATGTGGTTCTTGGGTGGCATGGCTGAGTTCTTTAGGGGATGTATGTTCCAACTGGAGATGTTTAACAATGAAGTTTGAGGTAAATGAGTAGTAAGAGATCTGACAAGAAGACCCTTCACTTGTCAAAACAGTCGTCTCCTTGAAGGCAATGCTTAAATCACTACATAAGGAGGGGAATGGGTATGTGGTAGAATTTTGCTCCATTGTCCATCAGAAAGTTGTTCAAGCAAATTGTCTAGATCTAAGAATAAAAGCTCTTTTGAGGGAATTTGAAGCTCTTTTAAGGGAATTTGAACCTCTCTTCAATCAACCTATAGGATTAACTCCACATCGAAGGCAAGACCACACCATTACTCTCAAAGAAGGAGCATAGCTCCCTAACATCAAGCCCTACAGGTACCCATATTATAAAAAAAAAAGGGAAAAAAAAAAAAGAAAAAAAGAGAGATAGAAAAATTAGTTAGTTAAATGTTAGCAGTAGACATTATTCAACCTAGCATTATTTCATTTTCGAGTCTCATACTGTTAGTCAAGAAAAAGATGGGAGTTGGAGGTTTTTTGTTGACTATCGACCTTTGAACGATATCACCATATCAGAAAAATTTCTATCCCTGCCATTGATGAGTCATTGGACTAGCTAAGAAGGGCTACCCTATTCTCAAAATTGGATCTCAAGTCGAGCTATCATCATATTCGGATAAGGGATGAGGATGTGCCCAAGACTGCTTTTTGAACTCATGGGGGACATTACGAGTTTTTAGTCATGTCATTCAATTTGAATAATGCTCCTTTGACATTCCAATCCTTGATGAATGACACTTTTAGACCATTCCTTCGAAAATTTATTTTGGTTTTCTTTGATGATATTTTGATATACAATGCTAATCTTCTTTCTCACCTAATGAACTTAAGGCAGGTTTTTCAAATGCTGCAGGAGCATAAACTGGTCGTTAATAAGAACAAGTGTTTGTTTGCACATGAGAAGTTAGAGTATTAGGGCCACCCAATCTCTACTAAAATGGTGGAGGTTAATTCTGCAAAGATTGAATGCATGCTCTTTTGGCCAATTCCCACTAATGTGAAGAGTCTAAGGGGTTTCTTAGACCTTATAGGGTACTATGGCAAATTTGTCTGAGGATATGGTTAGATTGCATACCCTCTAACTCAATTGCTCAAGAAGGACTCATTCTCATGGACTGTGGAGGCACAAAAGGCTTTTGAAAACCTCCACAAGGAATTATCTAGGTTCCAGTTTTGGCAATCCCATATTTTTCGCAATCTTTTGAAGTACAAACAGATGCCTCTAGTTAGGGAATGGGAGTTGTCCTGGTTCAAAATGGTCGACCAGTAGCCTCTCTAAGTAAGGCATTTTCTACCTCCTCCAAGCAAAAATCAATCTATGAATGCGAATTGATGACGATTATCTTTGCCATTCATTAGTGGAGTCATTATCTAATAGGAAGGGAGTTCGTCATCAAAACTGACCAACAGAGTCCCAAATTTTTAATGGAGGAAATGTCTATCACTCTAGAACAACCAAAATGGATTTCTAAATTGTTGGGCTACACTTTTGAGATCCAATATTATCTAGAGAGTTCCAACATGGTGGCAGATGCCTTGTTTCAAAGAGAAGTAATGGGAGATTTCAACACACTCTTAACAGCACATTTCCATGAGTATGAGGAACTAGCTACTGAAGCCCTCCAAGATGACAAACTCAAGCTGATTATTTAGGATCTGTTGCTACAACCTACATCCAAACCAAACTATTCCCTACGCCATGGTTGTCTTCTCTATAAGGGCATGTTAGTTCTCCAAAATTTTCCAAGTTTATACATAGACTGATTGAAGAATTCCACTGTACACCAAGGGGTGGCCATTCTGGATTCTTTCCTACATACAAGAGAGTTATTGGAGTCTTATTTTGGGAAGGGGTCAAATGAGATGTTCAATAATTTGTAGTGCATACTTTACCTTTATACAACTTGCACTAAAAATACCTAAGTTAAAATAATAATTTTTGTAACTATACTCTTATTAAGTTATAACATCTTTATAATAATAAAATTATTTTGGTGACACTATTATGACTATTAAAAGGTTTTATGTAATTATAAAAAGGTTTATTAGATGGTTTGGAGGGGAAGCGAGATCCGGATGTTGGATGCATTAATTAAACAAACAACATGAGGCGGTGTCCAGTCATTATCCTTCCTAATTACGTTAACACCTGTCGATGGAGAGGAGTGCTTTTCACTTCATGACTCTCCATCTAACTCTTCACCTCCTTTTAACCCATATCAACTCAACTCCCACCATTTGAATTGAATTGATTTGAATAAAGTCCATCGAATTTGAATGAAATGGCTTCTTCACTTGTACTGCAACTCCTCATCCTCTGCAGTGTAATTAGCTTTGTGAGATCAGATGCCTCTGATCATCGTTACCAAGTGGGTTACGATGTTCCTCTTTACGCCAACAAGGTTGGACCTTTCCATAACCCCAGGTACTCCTAAGCACTTTTTTATCTGGGTTTATGCTTATTTTCATTTGGTTGTGTCTGATATGGTACATTTCTAACTTTGTGCACAGTGAAACATACCGTTATTTTGATTTACCCTTTTGTTCATCAGGTTTGTGCTTCTTTATATATATCTTATTTATAAAAGTTTTGAATTTTACATGTGGGAATTTGTTTAATTTACTGAACAAGTTTACTGCAGCTCCTGTTAAGGAAAAGAAGGAAGCTCTTGGAGAAGTGTTGAATGGTGATAGATTAGTGAGTGCTCCGTACAGACTTGAATTTCTTGGTGATAAAGATGCTGAACTTGCTTGCAAAAAGCATCTGAGTAAAGCAGAAGTTGCTAATTTTAGAAATGCTGTTTCAAAAGATTACTACTTTCAAATGTATTATGATGATTTGCCCATATGGGGTTTTTTGGGGAAAGTTGACAGAGAAGGCAAATCTGACCCTAGTGAATACAAATATTATCTCTTTAAGCATCTTCAGTTTGAAATCCTGTACAATAAGGATCGTGTGATTGAGATTAGTGTAAGATCTGATCCAAATGCTGTTGTGGACCTGACTGAGGATAATGAAGTTGATGTGGACTTCATGTATAGTGTTAGATGGAAGGAAACTGATACCCCCTTTGAGAAGAGAATGGAGAAGTATTCGCAGTCGTCTTCTCTTCCTCATCACTTGGAAATCCATTGGTTCTCAATTATTAACTCATGTGTTACAGTTCTGCTGTTAACTGGTTTCCTTGCCACAATTTTAATGAGAGTTCTGAAGAACGATTTTGTTAAGTAAGAATCATTGCCAAACTGTTAAATGTGAATTAAAATTTGTCTGTTCAAATGTTCTTATATATATGATCTGATTTGTCATAGATATGCTCATGACGAGGAGACAGCTGATGACCAGGAAGAAACTGGGTGGAAGTACATTCATGGTGATGTATTCCGGTATCCGGAATGCAAGTCTCTGTTCGCCGCAGCTGTCGGTTCTGGCACACAGCTGTTTGCACTGTAAGTTTGCAATTGGGGTGGATCTGTCAAAGTGATTTAGCTTAGTTGATTTATAGCTTATATTTTGTTCAGCAATTTGATTAATTTGTTTATGTGCATATGTTCAGTGCAATCTTCATTTTCATGCTTGCTTTGGTTGGTGTCTTTTATCCTTATAACCGAGGAGCTCTGTTCACTGCTCTAGTTGTCATATACGCACTTACGTCAGGGATTGCAGGCTATACTGCTGCCTCGTTCTATTGCCAGCTAGAAGGAACAAATTGGGTATGTTATGTGATTCTTTTGTTATGTTTTTCAGTTGCATAAATTATTTCATTGGTTTTTCTTTTCTTCAATTTGTGTACAGATTGTGGCTCTATTAGTGTTTGCTGTGCTCTATTATGGTTGCACTTAGTTTCAGAATCATGACTAAAATTTTAAATTACCTGTATTACTCAGACAGATGCGATGTTCAACTGATTTCATTCATAAAAGGGTAGTTTGATTGATGTTATGCTTTTGTAAGAGTTGTTTTAAGGTGGGTAGAAGGGAATGAGAACAATCTTGAGAGGAATAGTTTTTTTTAAAAGATGTTATGGTGAACCTGAAATTAACTTCAATAAAATATAATCCTGATATATAGTTCAGCCACAAGAAGGTGGATCTGGAAAGTAATTTGACCTGAGCTTAGCATTTAGGAATCTGAAGCTCATATTCTCTTAGTTCATATTGGAATTTCTTGATTCCTTGATCCACTAATAATTCTTTGTCATAATCTGGTTTTCATGACAAATGAACTTGTGTCATGGAAAGTATAATTCTAAAGTGAGAGCTTAAATAAACTTGACAGCTTTTTGTTTTTGCTTGACAGGTGAGAAACTTGCTTCTGACTGGAGGCCTGTTTTGTGGACCTCTGTTTCTCACATTTTGCTTTCTTAATACTGTTGCAATTGCTTACAATACCACAGCAGCATTGCCATTTGGAACAATAATGGTGATTTTTCTTATATGGACTTTAGTCACATCACCATTATTGGTAGTGGGTGGCATTGCAGGGAAGAATAGCAAAGCTGAGTTTCAAGCTCCGTGTCACACCACAAAATATCCTAGAGAGATCCCACCACTGCCTTGGTACCGGAAAACTGTTCCTCAGATGGCAATGGCAGGGTTTTTGCCATTCAGTGCTATCTACATTGAGCTTTACTACATATTTGCTAGCGTATGGGGTCACAGGATTTACACCATATACAGCATCCTTTTTATTGTCTTCCTCATCCTCTTGATTGTAACTGCCTTTATTACAGTGGCATTGACATATTTTCAGCTTGCGGCTGAAGACCATAAGTGGTGGTGGAGGTATGTTCAGCTTTTAAGTTTTCTAATGTTGTACATGCATGCTTATGTACATACTTATGCTCATATATCATGCTCTTCACAGAATATCTCAAACATGTTGAACTTGGCTTTGTGATACTTTCACTGTCATATTCTCTGACCACTTGTTTGATTAGTTGAGTTCCATGTGTCAATGCTCATAGGAGTTCTTTAGTGTGGGTCAATGGTTTCTTTCTGCAAATATATATATGATAACTGTTCTGCATATTTACTATCTCATTACATTTAAGTCACTCATGACTTTTAGAGTGAAAGTTAAACCATTGTTTTGTTTTTGCTACTGTTGTCTGGTTAAGAGACTTCTCTGGACACCTCAATTGGGTCTCGTATCTCAGTTTGCATGTTTTTGTAAGACTGAGTTGTGTAGGTATTGTCCTAGAACTGATGCAGAACCAGATCCTAAATCTTATATTTAATTTTTTGAAAATATGTTATATTTTGGGATATTACTATTTGTGTCTGATTATCATTGTTTGAGTTAGATTTGGTTTTCCTGTTAGAGTAGGATTTACTGATTAGAGGTCATTTTTGTTTCATTTTTGCTTATGTTTTTGCCATAATAAATTGCCTAATGTTTTGACTTGGGAAGATTGACTAACTACAGAAATTATATGATGATTCAATGTTTTACTCCTGTATCCCTCTCCAAGTTCTTTCTTCTCTTCTAATTTTTGGCAATTTGTCTCCCTTTTATCACACAAAACTTGTGCTGTGCTGTATAACTTAGGGTGAAAATTACAGAAGGAATTATATCCCAAGTTTCATGAAATGTGCACTATGTTGTGAACTTGCGCAAGTAAAAAATTTGAGTACCATGCTTACTAGTTAGTGTAGTACTTTGGGATAAAAAGTTAATGTTATATAGAAGCCTTGATGAATTATCCATTACCAATAATGATGTCTTCTTGTGTCGGGATGATTGCTTTTATAAATTTGCTTATGGCAATCGCTCTTTTTTTCAATTCTGAATCATGCGTAAATAACAAGACTTCTAATGGGTTGATCATGTAGATAGAACATTATATCCCGTGCGGTCAGATTATCATTCCACCTATTAAGATTGGAGTAGTTGGAAAAATGTTTTGTGATGCAGTTATATTCTTTTCCTTTAAATTGGAGAGAATCATCCGAGGATTAATTTAGAGTCCAGAAAACTGACTTTATATAAAATTTTCATATTACTAGGTCTTTCCTTTGTGGTGGATCAACTGGCTTTTTTATATATGCGTATTGCCTGTACTACTACTACGCACGCTCGGATATGTCAGGATTTATGCAAACCTCATTCTTCTTCGGGTACATGGCTTGCATTTGTTATGGTTTCTTCCTGATGCTTGGGACTGTTGGTTTCCGTGCTTCATTGTTTTTTGTTCGTCACATATACCACTCTATCAAGTGTGAGTAGGAAGTTGCTTGGTCTTCATTATCTTAAACTGGTATGCTTCTTTTACCTTTCTTATTCTTAGTAGGATCTTTTTCTTTTACCATTTAAGACTCTACTATTGGAAGTTGTGTCTTGGTTCACCGCATGGTAATTTGTTACCATCTGGCTCTCATAATGCAGGAACTGTGGTGGGTGACTGAAGCCACATGCTCCAGCGTCGTATTTGAATTTCTACACTCAGTTCATTCTTGAAGGACTAATTGCTATAATTATAGGGTAAAAGAGTCATCGGCATGTCAGCAACTTTCGATTGGAGGACTATTCAGGCTAATAGAGGCAGTGAAAAGAAGCTTGTAGTATGAACCTGTGAGCACAAATTAACATAATTCAATCTGTTTTTTCGTACCCGCATAATACCAAAAGTATTACAAAACAATCAGCTTGTGTTAACAAATTAGCGTCGAATTTCTCTATTCTAGGCATTTGAATTCAATGATGGTTGTGTATTAAGAGGGCATTTGGTTGGGGGTTACGGGGGATTAATGGGGTTAAATCATCTTATAATGTTTGATTATCATGTTTGGTTTGTCAAGTAATATAAGATTTCGATAATCTTCAAATACTAATAGTGGCTATTGTTGGTAATATTGGAGGTAATCTGATTACCTCCATTTTTTTAAGTATTATAAGATTACTTGGGTAGTCTTTTTTTGTTACAATTATAACCTTTATTAATAAAATTTTAGGACAATAATTTCCTTATTTTTAAATTTATTTACATGAATCTTGCTTTTACCATTTCACCTTAATTAATTAACTTTTTGGACAAAATTACCTTTGAAATCAAAACAAATTTCAGTTTACCCAAGCCGCCACCTCCGCCCACTTGCTCTTGCCTGTCGCTAGCCACACCTGGAGTCGCCGTGAGTTGTCCGCCATGATCGGGAGGCCTCGATATGGTTATTTCTAGCCATATTAATGGTCGAAAAGGCCACATCGAGAGTAGATCTGGTCGAAAATGGCCAGATCTATTCTAGCCATTTTCAGCCAAATTGATGGGTCTGATCGTTAACGCTTAGATTTGGCTGATAAAGGCCAAGATGACCAGACCCATCAATCTGGTCGGATATGGCAAGAATAGATCTGGCCAGATCTGCTCTCGATGTGGCCTTTTCGGCCATCAATATGGCCAGAAATGGCCATATTAGAGCCTCCCGGTCACGATGGGCTGCTCACGGCGACTTCCGACAATAGTGGCGTCAGGGTGGTGCGGGCGAATTAAAGTTTTATATAAGTGGGGCTGTTTTAGCTAAATTTGAAATATTGGGGGTTAAAAGAAATTGTTTAAAAATTAATAATAAAAATAATATTATATTAATATTTAAAAAGAAGACAATTTAGTAATTTAAATAACATATCTACCAATTTATTCCTCCCAACTAAACATATTAATATAATATACTTATCAATTTATTTCAACTAATCAAACATATTTTCTTAAATATTCTCAATAATCTTCAACGTAATATAAAATTCTAGTAATCTAACATTCTCTAAACTAAACGCACCCAAAAGTTAAAAAAGAGACGGACAAGAGAAATGAAAAGAATTTAGGTAAATCTCGGTTTTCCTGGTTAATATGGAGAAGTTTAAGGTTGATTATTTTGCATTAAAAATTTATAGGTGGTTACTTACTCTAATTTCTTCGAAAAAGAAATATAAATACAAAGAATATTTTCATTTTTAAGAGAGACTAGCAAATGTAACATTGGGATGCAACTAAACTCTTAATTGCTTATTAATTTACTACATCGAAGTATCATGTCAGGTATAAGTTACACCAACTCTTTATACGATGAAAGATAACAATTAGTTATTCAAATGCAAATATATCAATTGGTTAAACTCCACCACCAAATTTATGCAGTTTCAACTTATCATAATCTTATATAGGATTAACCTCGAGAAGATTTGTCCAAGTTTGTTCACGTCGACCAAGGTAGAGAGTATTTCCTTTCATCGATCCATATGGTTCTGAAACTGAGGGTACTTAAAAGACTAGAAATCCCAACATTTGCTGTTTGCTCTTCCCAAATTACTGTTAACACAAACAATAAAAAATAAAGATATTAACTTAGTAAAAGTTAATTCTCTCAGTTTTAGTATAAATAGGATAATATTGTATAATCATTTTTTCTAAATATATTTCCATGAGTTGAACATAACATTTTTTAAGACAAATTATAATTAATATGTTTTGTGGACTTTGCTTAAGTCAACACTAAGATCATAATGCATTGAAAAAAAATATAACAATACGAAACAACCGAGTGACGTCTACTAAAGTACAGTGCTGCCATGGATTCACCAATCCATCACAACGTCTGTTCAGATTTCCAGTGTGAGGGAAAAAGAGCAAGAGAAATGAGTGATGATTCATAATAAGTACTTTTTTTTCCCTAATTCAAACAGAAAAATAAGAAGGTGGCCTGAAGACCCAAAAAATTGTATCTGGATATGCAGGCCTCCATCTCTCTGCTTCATTTCCAGGTAGAACCACCAAGTCTAATCACTTCTTCACCTCTATCCCTTCCAGGACCCCGTTCCAGTTCATCCTCCCCTTTTCTATCACTTAAATCACCATATAGATCCCTAAGCTTGGCCAGGTTGCTAGATGCAGATGTCTTCTCTTTGCTTACATCTCTCTGTGGGCTTGTTTGACGATCAATGCGTGCATTGCCAGCCTGCACACTCTTACTTCTGCTCCTGCTTCTGCTCCGGCTCCTATGGCTGTTCTCATATTCCCTCCTGCTTCCTCTCTCTGAGTACTTGGACCCTCTTCATAATCATGTTTCGTTCCCTTTCTCTTTCTCTTCCCTGTCCCTGTCCCTAATCCTATCCCTATCCCTATCCCTGTCCCGATCTCGATCTCGATCTCGATCTCTACCTCGATCTCGGTCCCTATTTCTATCTCTATCTCTGTCTCGATCCTGATCTCTATCTCTGTCTCGATCACGTTCTCGGTCCCTATCTCTATCTCGATCCTTGTCTCTGTCTAAGTAATCCCTGTATGATACTCAGACTATGGCTGCGGCGATCTCTGGGGGATCTCTTACATCTTCATTGGCTCCATCATATGAGGGCGGTGGTATAGTGCGGCGAAGGGAGATGGTCCCTGGTTGATGCACGGTGAGGAGCACGCTGGCCAAAAGAGACTGAAAGTGCAGCTTTAACAGATGGTGGTCGACGAGCAGTATCATCAGATCCATGACGGTTGGTATCCCCTGTAACACCAGAGTGCTTTGAGGGAAGCTTCATCTTCTCAAGATTAGTTACAATCTGCCGCATTACAGGAACAGGATGCGGGGAAAAGGGTATCAAGTAGTACTGCAATATCGCAACAGAATGGAGTATTCAATTTTTATTTCCTTCCATATTGATTATGAATATTAAGCTTCAGTTGGTCAATAACATAAAGTCAAAATTGCAGCAGATAGTTCATACCATACACAATCGTAGAAAGAAATCTGTATTAAGGAAAAAGAATATAAAAAATAACGGAAAGCTTATTAAGAAAAAAAAAAAAAAAGGGCGAGCTCTCCTCCTAAAACCCTAAAAGATTCAAAAACTTGTCAGAGAACACTTGACTTTATATAAAAGAACTCAACATTAAAGGTAAATAAAAAAAACAACACAAAGACAACAATCATACATGCAAATACCGAGATATGAGAAAAAATATAAAGGTCAAAAGCGATTCACAAGGGAAAAAATCATTTCCTAATTGCACAATTCCAGCTTGGAACTCAACTAAGAATATTACTAGCGGATTGTTCAGTAAGAAAAAGCTAAAATCTAATCAAAAAAAAAGCCTTTTCAGTGAAGATCCAACCCTGAACAGGAGCAGCCTCAAGCCATCCCAGAAAATGTTTTTCTCACATGCCTTCCCTTTCATGGTTCAGTACTCTTCCATCATCAGAGGAACCACAACTATCCATCCTGAATTTGAACTAACATGAAGTGGTTGCCTGCTCAATTTTTCGTTTTTTAAACCTTGACTCAATGAATTTGAGGAAGTATACACAATCCATTTTCATTGTTCAATTCTGACATTAAAAATATAATTAAATAAACTCTTTGAGATCATGAAAAACCAAAAGCTCTACCCTTCCATCTCTATGTATCTAAGACAAGTTAAGGCAGAAGACTAATGTGTTTCATCAAGTCAAGAGTTGGGGCCTCAGAGTCACCAGCCAACTGAGCTTGAGAGACAAAAGAAAGAACGTCAGACATGTCAAGTTGATTTGAAATTTGACACACTAATAAGGTCGGTAATAAAATATTCAACAGTTGAACTAGTATAGATAAATCTCACAGAAAAGTTACTGTGCTATTTTTGTGAGCTGGACATGTTTGACTGTGTATGTGCAAGTGTGCTCACAAACAGAGTTAAGATAACAGGTGCAGGGTCATTCAAAGCTCGTGATGAAACTAGGATAAAAGAAATTAAGAGAGATGAAGGAAGGTGAAAATAGAATTTCAGAGAAAGAAAGGAAAAAATACATAGAATTGTGAAGAAAACAAAATTTGTTGCTCAATACCTCCATCAAAAGTCTGCCTACAAACAGAACAATAGACCATATTTATAGTAACCAAACATAAACAAACAGGAAACAAAATCTTGTTCAGATATGTTACTAATTCATACACATAAGAACCAAATTAACTTGATAGAAAACCAATTTGTAAATTTTTTAAAAGATAATATATTTAAATTCTTGACCTCCATCAGTAATAAAAGAAATCCACAAGTTCATGTTCAAATACCTGTCCAAGTAGAAATCTCGCACATATGCACCCATCGTGGTCATTTTTTCCGTTGGATGCAGGTGAGAATTCCTGAAATGCAAGACATTCAGTATTACGAAATATTATGAAAAGAAGTATTGGAACAAAAGCTATTATACTCATAGGGATGTTCCCTGAGCATATGATAAACAGAACTGCGATTGAATGCAAAATATTAGCCGGAAAACAAAAAAGTGCAGTTTATTACTCAGACTGAAGGTTATATAACAAAACTATCATGCATTAATGAGAAATCTAGAAGGCTTCATTAATAAGATCACTTAATAAAAGCCACAGCAGCATTAATATTTAGCTTCAAATTACTTACAATTGAAGAGTCATATGAGCAACTTAAGCAAAGGTGAAACTACTCAAAATCTCATTAGGTAGTACTGAAATTGGAGTGAGAATTGGAATGCAAAACTTCTGACATGGACTTCAATTATGGTAAACCAAACCAAAAGCCCATTTGAAAAACATATATCCCAAATGAATCGATTATTAAAAGGTTAGAAGACATGGCATACTGGAATAGTGTTCAAACATGTTGTACTAACTGATGTTGCTATTAACATGGACATATTATGGAGATAACAAACTTGTAATTCTAGCAAGGTGCTTGACAACCTAAAACTATGTAATATACATAATATTTATTCATTCGAGCAAAGACTGCAAATTCCATGCAGAATTAAGTTAAGATATTTCTACTCAAGAGTAACTAAATTTTTAATCAGTAAGTTTTTTTCCCTAAGTCTCAAGACAATTGAAATGACAGC